AATTGGTTATTATAATCTTGTAATTTTGTTTTGTGATTTCTAAATTTTTATCTATAAGCTTTTGTCTATTGACATATAAAAAAAAAAAAAAGAAGTAAATTAGATGTTTGTGATTAAATAATTATCTTTTCTAAATTACTAAATAATGTTAATTTTTCTATTTATTATCTTAGCTTTTAATCTTGTTATATATTTATTAAATTATTCTTGATTTTACTCATTTTTGTTCACTGTTCTAATCATATTGTGGTTAATACTAAGATGTTTGTATATTTTTATATATTTTTAAGAAAGTTAAATCTGATGTTTAGTAACTTATACAAATGTTGTTTCAAAAAAAAGAGGCTTAGTCTTAATTCTACTAGATAAATTATAATAATTTTTAAATTAATTAGAATTGTTTATAGTTAAAACTTTTTAAGTAATTTTTATAAAGACTCAACTTTTATAAAAAACCTTGGGTATAATAAAAAGGTGCACTTATGCAAATAAAATATATATTTAAGCTAGAATTTGAGTGCATTTAGTGAGATTGCGTAATTAGAGACTCATTGCAATAAATATTTAGCTATAATTAAATTTTAATCTAATCTATATACTGTTAGAATATGCTACAGATTTTATCTAAAAGATAATAAATTTTTCCAATTGTATTTATTTATTTTAACTATTCTAAGTTCAATACTTCAAAGGTTTATATTTTTCATATATACACTTAAGAATTGAACATTTATCACTTTACTAACCTACTTACTGTTATTAAATGCTTAATTTTCTGCTTTTTATACTTATGTTTAATCGCAAATCACTATATAGCATAAACTAAAGGCCTAGAATATAAAGTGTCCCAGATACTATAAACAATTTAATTGCACTTGTGAATATAAAATACATAGGCATTTAACAAATTAATTATGAAATTTTTCAACTAAAATATAATAGGATTAATATAGTATAAATAATTTATTTTAAATATACTTATTAACAAGTAGTTTTTATATTTATCAGTTATATGAAATAAAATAACAACAAAAGTAAATAATTTATTTTGAAAAAACTACATATATGCAAGAATGCTACATCTATATTATATTAATACTAATCTATCTAAATTGCATATAAAGTCTATCTAAATAACATAATTAGTATTTGACCTACTGCACATATAATTTAAAGTTGCAAATAAAACTTATAAAAGTTAAGCAAACAAAAAACTTATAATGAAAGCAGTTTTATCTGCAACTTGATTTGAAACTTCATCTTCTGTTTCTGGTTTTGCATGACAACATCATACAGCTACATATTTAATATTATTATTCAAAACATTATAATTATAATCATATTTTACAATTTATAAAATAAGTAAAGATAAAAATAATTTAAGAGTTATAGGTTGAAAAATTATGTGACTATGCTATCAATTAGTGATTACACTAATGTTTTTGAAAAATAATTGCATCAGAAGATAATTATATAGAAAAATAATTTGTCAGAGAGATAAATATGTTAGAAAAATAACTTATCAGTAAAATGATTATGTAGAGGAAATAGTTATATTAAGAAAATAGTTATGTCAAGAAAATAGTTATGTTGAAAAAATGATTTATTAGAAAAATGATAATATTAGAGAAATAATTGTGTTGAGTAAATTATTATATCAAGAAAGTGACTGTTGAAGAAATAAATTTTGGAAAAATGATTGTGTTGAGGAAATGGTTTGTTAGAAAAATGATTGTTAAGAAAATTAATATTAGAGAAATGATAAAGATCCACTAGGCATAATTAACTAAGGAACTGAAGAGTCAGAAGTTTACTTAGAAATTCTCAAATAAAGAGGTAGCATAAACTTTTGACAATACAGTCAAACTGATAAAATCTTATATAACACCCTCAAAAGAATAAGTAAATAAACCAAATAACAAGATGTATAGAAAAGTATATAACCAACCAGGCTACTAGAATTGCTAAAAAAAAAGAATACATATATATATACTATACTGGGCTATCTGAATTGAAAATTAGAGAAGTTCTGTTAATCCTAAGTAATAGTTAGTAAAAGATAATGATAAAGACATTGTGATATTAGGTACTAAGGTTCTAGTGAACTTTACAAGTGTAAAAATAATATAATGTAATAGTTAAACAGATAACCTCTGTAACTGCAAGTATTAGATAATTATAACATATTACATAAAACTAAATCAGCTATATATAAAACACAGAAGGTTCTAATAAGTTTTCTGTTAAGAATAAATTAGTTCTAAAGATCTCAAAAGCATCAGATACTTTGGATTGGTGTAGCCCAGAAGATGTCTCTATGATTACAAATTGAACTAAATATGCAGAAAGTTTAAATAGATAAGACTTATAATTGGCTTACAAATATGACACCTAGTATAGAACTTATATAGTAATATATAGATGAATTACTTAAATTAGGCACCAAAAGTACATATGAAGCTAGTTGTAATCTTTTATGTATAGAAGTTCTTGAAGACATTTGTATTCAAATACTTGAATAAAAACATTGATCTTCAAAGACAAGGACTTTAATATTAAAAATAAAAATAAAAAAAATAAAATAATTCTAAAATTAAGACAATGTTTTAGGTATGACCTAGTAATATTAATACAGATTGCAAGTTTAGAAAGTTTAAAATAAAACACTCAAGTAGAAATATTAAATACAACAATTGGTAAGAAACCTTTAGGTAAATTTCTTAAATAGATAATATAAAAAAGTTATATATAACTAATTGTACACTTTTTCTGTAATAGTTTATAAAATCATATTACCTAAAAAGTTATTAATAAAAATCAAAAGATTAAAAAAAATCATCTTTAAAAAAACAAAAAATTATTTTAAATTTATATATAATTTTAAAATACTGCTTTCTATAATATTTAACCAATTTGGGTATGATGACTTAGTAAAGAGATTAAATTATCAACTCCCAAGTAGCAGGTTTAGAATTCAAATCTCAGTATTGATAAAAAATTTAAAAATTCTCTCGATTTTATAATTAACTGTTTCTCATAATTGGTTAAAATAAGATATCTGTTATCTGTATTATATCAGCATGACTAGTAGATTATATGTCATTTGTATAACAGTTACATAACAATGTCTTTTGGAACAAGATTTGTAGTTACATGAAGGAATGCAAACTAATACTGAATTATGCAAACCTACAATAAGTCTTCGTAATCATATAAATTATAGGAATCAAAAGAAGAAAGACAAAAACCCATTTGAAAGATCTAAATAGAGAGGTAATCTAAACTTTTGATAATATTACTATAAAGACTAGACTTATAAAATAAAACTAAAACTTGTAAAACTAGACAAATATGTTTGTCTTTGAAAAAGAACCAATAAACCAATCAGGTTATTAAAATTTTCAGATTTCAGAGAAAAAGAATACATGTTAACAAACATGTAAACTAGAGGTATAGTTTCAAACTACCTTTCTGAACTATCTAGAATGACAACTTAATAAAACTTAAATTGAATACCAAAGTAGTAAGAATATGTTGTGAAGTTAGTACTGAGATTGGGATGAACTTTATAAGAGCATAACAGTTTAATGATACACTTTAATCATTAGTGTTAATCTCAATTATAATAATACTAGATCAGTTATAAAAATAGGATACAGAATATTCTGAAAGATTTAGTACAAGGTTAAAGATTCTAAAGAACTATTTTAAAAACTTAATGATCATGACATATTTTTACCAATATTAGCTAGGGTTGTTGATAGGCAAAGATAAATGAGTAAATACAAAAACTAGAATGGTTAAATCAGGAACCTACAAGCAGATTTCAGATATGATAGCTAGTGTAGAACCTTCAAACAGACTACTTAAATTAAACAATGATTAAAGTTGTACAAGTGATTAGTTGTACACTCTTTTTATAGTTGCCTCCTGTGGTTGTAATGCAACCATTAATCAAATATACTATCAATAAAATCCTGGGTCACAAATACTCACCTTAATATTTGAAGAAAAAAAAAATATTTAACCAATTTTAATGAATTTACTATTTAATTTATATTTAAAAATTGTTTATTTAAAAAATATTTTTTATTTTTAATTAAATAAAATTTTACCATAAGTTTTTTATATTATTTGAAAATTATATCCTCTACTCTTAAATTACTATTAAAAATTTGATACTTTGAATTTAATTCATTAAATCCATGAATCCGGTGTAAGGGTGTCCGTTATATCCATAGTTGACTGTATTCTAAATACAGATAATAATTTTTGTGTAATGTTACTATGTAAAATCGATGATAATTCTGGACAATCTACCCCAGAGCGACAAATTACCGGGGCACTATCAACACAGTGTATCGGTATTACATATATTAGCAAAGCAAAGGAAGTAATAATGAAGGCTAAAATTTTCGCAATAGATAGTCGTATGGTGGCCCCGAAAGTTTGTAACTTTTTTTAAATCCAGATTAACGGGATTGAAACATTTAGATAAATAGTAAGAAAAAAAAAAGGTTAAATTTTATGGTTTCTGTGTAATAGTAACAGATTGTTAGAGGCTACACATTCAACCGTTTTGACCAGAGTTGTAAATTTTGACCCGGTTGAACCGTTTAGACCAGTGATAGACAGTGACTTTTGATGACCATAATGATTTAGGTGACTTAATCATTAGTCATTTGTCTCTCTCAGAAATTAGATGACTAATCACTTAATTTTAAATATGCTATAATTTAAATTTAAGATGTAATTATGTGACTGAATGATAATGGCATAAATATAACAAGACAGAATGACTAGGACAAAAATCTAAATGACTTAGTCATTGTCCATCACTGGTTTTGACACGGGTGGCCCGGTTTACTATAATCCAGTTCTAAACTCTATTCTGCATTTCCAATTTTTTTAACACCTTGTACCGTCTCCAACACTAAAAAAAAATAGATATATATTCTGAATTAATTTAAAATGTAATGTCTATATTTTACACATATATATTAAATATTAACCTGGTTGTCTGTACGTCCGTCCATAAATGCAGAAATCTTTGCCCATTTTCCTACTCCTATGCTTTTTACTAACTCTAACAATTTTGTATCCTCCTAATTAGATCACAAAAAGAGTAAGTTAAATTACAATTATGTTATCAAATTTGTTATTAAGATAGTTAATGATAATAACCTCCTTAGTCCATGAATCTTTCTTAATGCTTGGATTAAGAACGTTCATCCAACGCTCACGACACTGTACATCTGTTCTACCTAATACATATTGTTGTACTTTAACCCAATTACCAGCACCATAGATAGAGACTGCATTTCGAAGTGCCTGTGGTATTTACACATTTTGTATATTTTGTTAATCGTTAAACGTAAGATCAGAAAGGCACATTAATAGTTATTATTACAAACTTCACCTCATCTTCTTCCTTTTTCCAGCGACCACGTCTGATTGCTGGGTTCAAGGTTTTAGTCCATCTGTGTAGGCATTGCTGGCCTGTTCTATTATCTAGGCAATGTGCAACTAAAATAAAGAATATATAACATCAATAATTTGTCAGATACAATTTGAAAATATTTATATATTTACCTTGTTGCCAATTCTTTTCACCATAAAGATCTACCGCTCGTATAAGTATATTATCTTCCTCCTTTGACCATTTACTATATAGCATGTAAAATGATCATGAGTAATATGAACCAAACGAAATACAGGACAAAGAAGAGACGCAAGTACCGAGGATCAGAGGATTGCTTGTTGTATTGCTTAAAACATTCGGCAGCAGTTCTATTTGTCTGTTGAGACAAAGAGAAAAAAGAGATGAAAAAATAAATTGTAAACTCACCAATACAAAAATCAACGAATAAAACAGAAGACCGAATACCTAAAAAGTAACGAAGGATTTGAAATTTAAATCGCAGAAATAATAATAAATATACTAACACCTAATTCTAATGCAATTTTCTGCCAATTTCTACAATTATTTTGTTCAACAATTTCCAATAATTTTTTCGTCTCTAAAGTAGTCCATTCATCATTATTAATACATGGGTGATCGTGGTTTGTCCATTGAATGATACATTCTTCTTTTGTTTTTGTAGGCACCTGATATGTCGTATATGACTAGCTTTAATAATATATAAATACGTGTTTTTAATAATTTATTTTAATAAAGGGATATCATACGTATTGTTTTGCAATTTGTGACCAATTTATTTCTTCCACATTATAAAGAAACAGAATCTTTGACATTTTTTCTACGGATTGAATTGATCTACCTCTGGAATTATTAAAATTTTATGTATAGTCAATAAAAGGAAATAATATGCGAATCCTCTGTTTATTAACAATATTAATATCGTCACCTACTCCCTCATAGCTCGTAACGCTTCCCGTCTCATATTATGATCTTGAACACCCCTTCTCAATGCATCCTTTTCGCTTAAAGTCCCTATCAAATAAATTAACATAATTAATTAATAACAATAATACTAACTACAAAAAAATCTAAAGTACTACACTCACATCTTGTACTCTTAAAAATTAACGGCCGAACGCTTGTATCTTCATTCTCAGGCGGTGTCTAAGTTCAATTAATAGAAGCAACGCGTAAATTAATAATCTAAAGTACTATAGACTCTGGATGTAAAAAGCTTTAAATTATAGGTTCGTTATATAAAATATAGAAATTTTGATATAACAAACTTTTAATTTTACTAATAGAATCAATACTTATAACATATTTTGCTTACGTTTCCCTCCGAATCGACAAAAAATGGTGGTCCAAATGTTCTTACACTTGGTGTCTCTTGTACAGATCTAGAGTGACCACCGACTTCAGTTTCCTTCTGTCTCATTCGTGTGAGACGCTCCTAAATAAATCATGTTTTAGAGGCATAAGAAGACGGTCACTTGAATAATCACTTTTAATCGAGGCTAATTCGATAAACTTACTTGTAAAATTATATTGCGTTGTAATGCTGCGTCAATACCTGATTTAATTCTATCTAATTCTTTTTGAAGCTTTCTATTTAATTCTAATGCATCAAGAATATCTTGTGGATCGGCTTTTGAAAGCGTCGAATTATCTGACATTATGGTTGTTAAATTAAAATTTTTTTCCATTACGAAGCAAGTCGCAGTCGAGTGAAAACCATAGCTGCCACAACAAATTTGTCACGGCAGATCCTCGATTTTTATTGGCTAACGGCCGTGGATTTACCGTGGATCCCGTGGATCTGCAAAATTTTGGCTCGCATTACATAATTGTTTACTAAACTTTTTCATTCTAAAATATAGGCCGTATCATCACTTCTAATACATCATATTTTATAAAATAAATTAAAAAGTTTATTAAGAATATTTAATCTAATGAATGTTATTTTAAACTATACTTTTAGAATTATATACTATAATTTTTTCTAAACTTTGTAATATTGTTAGTTGGTTTATTAGATTCTAATTTTGATATAGTACAATTTATATAAATGCACTTCACACACACTTTTTTTTTATAAGTGTATTAGCACTAGTAGAACTAATGTCCATGCTCATACCTGTGCCCAGTGATATAAATTGGATATAGATTTAAATTTGTGCATATATTAATGCTTACTGTATATATAGTATATATATATATATTTTTTTTTTTTGATATTAAGTTGATCTTTTTAGTTTATTTTTATTATTATTATTTTTTTTTTTAACTTTAGCAGTCACATTAGTACTTTATTAGGATTCTTGAAACTATACAGATTATATAGAATTTTCCTAATATATAAGTTTAGCATTACTCAGTTACCCAAATGGTATTTAAGTATGATCTGTTGCATTATTTTAGTTAAAGATAGACTGCTTGTCTGATTGTTGTCCTACAATAGAACATCACCAATCTGATATCTTTTTATAGAGAAACAAAAAATAAATAAATAAAGAATTTTTTATGTAAAAAACAAACTGGAAATATAGAGGTAAATGATAAAGATACAAATCAAGAAATAAAAAAGAAAAGTGAATAAACAAAAAAAAAGAAAATGTATGAAACTTGTAATTTACAAATATTAGACAGTCACAATTGTATGTCTATGTTAGGTTTTTAAAAATTATAAACTATACTAAATAGAAATAACTCTACTATTTTTCTATTTATTTAGATTATTTAATAAAAAAGCATATAGGAGAGAAAAAATCTTCAACTTAATCATAAAGGGTTGGTATAGAGTATTAGTTAGTCCAGAGACAGTATTTTTAGGTTTTTTAGTATTTTGAGGCATGTGTATAGTTATGTTTGTATTACTGTCTTGTTTTGATCTATGTTATCAACAAACCCATTTAGGAAATAAATACTGCTGACTGTTTTGGTAGTTTTATATATTGATCTTTAATAGGAGATAAGCTAAATTGTCCATTTTTACAAAATTTTCTTAAAACAAAGTAAAGGCAAGAGGTGAACCAACTTTGTAGCTTTTGTGACTTCTTGACCTTTATAGATGTTCCTTATAGATTTTACAGTTGTATAGAACTAATATATCCAACTTTGTTGTTTACTTTATAAAAAACTTTGGCTTTTACCAACTACTTTTTCTATAGTCCCAAAATGTAGTCAAATTATTATTACAAAGCTACAACTTCTTTTTTAACTCTATTTCAATGTTCAACTATACATGTACAATACTCTAGAAAAGTTTTTATGAAGTTTAATAAATTAACTATATTATTTTTCTGTAGTTTGGTTTTTTGAAAAGTTTGATTCAAATGTTTTAGTTTTTTGACTTTATTAATATTTTTATTAAGCACATATATATATAAATATATGTTTATATTAAACTATTATAGAAGAGTATATAACTGATTACATATATAACTTTTTTATATTACTTATTTAAAAAGTTTACTTAATGGTTTCTTATCAGTTATCATATCTAACAATTCTGTTTGAATATTCTATTTGAATCTTTTAATTAGCAATCTTTGTGTTAACTTTACTAGGTTATTCAGACCTAGATTTTTATTTAAACTTTAGAATTATAATTTATATGATTATTTTTATCCTTAAGATAAACCTTTTAGAATTTTTTATATTTTTATATATAGTTAATTTGGATTTTATTATAACTAGAATCAATGCTTACAATCAGAGATATTCATTAAATTATTTTTATTTTTATAAAGTTTACCTAGATTTTAATACTTATCTTTTTGATATTATTTTTATCTTTCTTTACTAATTGTTATTTAAAACTAATAAGTTTTTTCAAAATACAAATTTAGATATTTCAATATAATATACTTATGTATTTTTTTTTAATAATTCTGACAACTTAGTTAATATATATGTTTCTCTTACATATCTGTTATCTAGTTTATTTAATAATTTTTTGAAAATATTTTATAAACTTCTATCAATTCAACAGCATTATCAAAAGTTTGTATTATTTTTTTAAGTAGATTTTTATTTTTTTAGTTTTTTAGTTTTCTATACTCAGTAGTTTATTACAGATTTGCATTAAAACTTTATGTAACATTAGTTTTTTATACTTCTCTATGTATATTTAATATTATAATTTATATAGATATCTTAAGTTTTCAATATCAGATAGAATTTAATTTAGTATATTTAAAATTATAGATACTTAAATTCAATTGATTAACAAAGACAATTACAATAATATAATAAATTTAAAATTTGGCATCTATAAAAATTAAATATTAGATCTGTTATTTGGAGATTAATAATCTATTTATTTTACTAAGTTATTATATCCCCTATATATATATATTTTTTTTTTGTATAAATTTTTTTATATTTGTACCAATAAAATTTTTAAATTTATAATACTGCCTAATTTTATATTTATATCTGTATATCTATACTTATGCCTATAACTGTATCTATATCTGTATCATATTTATGTATATACTTATATTTATTTTATATTCATGTTTATGACTATATTATTTTATATTCATATTTATATTTATGCTAAATTTTTATATTTGTGCTCATACTTATACTTAAATTTTTATATTTATATCTATGTTTATGTCTAAACTTTCATGTTTATATTTATATCTAAATTTTTTGTTAAATATAAGTATAAATCTAAATTACAAATTTTTATAATTAATTATTTAAATTTTCATTATCAATAAGTTTTAAACTTACAATTTATTACTTAGAAGATTGACAACTTATTTATTTATTTATTTTTTTTTTAATTTTTTTTTTTTTAAAGTGACCTCTTTGGTCTTTTGACTTTTATTAATTACTTATCGGTATTGTGGTTCAATGAACCACTACAGGAGAGCATACAATTGGCTACACATATAACTTTTCTATATTACCTATTTAAGGAGTTCGCCTAAAGGTTCCCTACTAATTGCTGTACCTAATACTTCTGCTTGAGTGTTCCACTTTAAACCCTCTGAACCTGTAACCTGTGTTAACATCACTGGTCATCTTAGATATACCAGATCATCATCCTCAACCTTAGGACTAATTTATTCTTGAAATAAACCTCCTAGAGCCTTCTGTATCCATTTTTACAACTGACCTAGGTATCACTATGGCAGAACCAACACTTGCAGTTAGGGCTAATCATTAAACCACTATGTCCTTGTAGAGTTTACTTAGACTCTAGCATCTATTTCATAGCATAACCCTGGTACTTTAGTATACTTCTGCCTTTTCTCTTACCCTTTTACCAAACTCCCAATCCAGATAGCCCGTATAGGACTATAACCAGTCTATTGGTATATCAGGTCGGCCCGATATCCTTTTTCTTTAGTTCGTTCCAGTGGCCTGGTTAGTAGTACCTCCGAGACTCTCAACCTGGAGGTTCTTGCCCGTCTAGCTACTAGGACTGGGTACTAGACCTGGGTATCCATTTCGCCAGGCTAGCCTTTACAGTAGGGCCATAAAAAATCCAGCTATCTCTCTACTCAGGTCTTTCTAAATGGACTTCTTGTTATTCAATTTCAACAGATTTACACAGCCATAAGGACTTATCTAGTGTTTGCACTGCTCGATATGTCGGTTTGCATTCCTCTGTATAACTCCAACATTGCACAGACGCTCTATGGCCAGCCAGTCATGCTGATGTAACCGCTATTACAGATATCCTAATCTAACTGTTAGTAACAATTGCTGTAATACAAATATTATATAGGTGATTATACAAATTTTCGCCATCGATGGAATTTGAACACCCAACCTACCACTTGGGGGAATGACAACCTGACCACTTCACTAGGTCGCCACACCCCTTCTTTTTTTTGGAATTTGCTTGTTTGCCATTTAATTATAGCTTCTTCTATTGCATTTCACATCTGGTCTAATATTTTTATATTATATTATAATAGAATTTATTTTTTTTTTATTATATTAGTATATATTTATTTTTAGCTTTATATTATATTTTATATTTTTTCTAATATTTTTACATAGTTTATAGATTATTTTATTAGTTTTAATTATTTATTTAATAGGTTAATATTTATTTTATTAGTAAATTTCTTATAGTATTTTATTTTAACCAATAGTTGTTAGAGTATCTAAAAATACAGTTGTTTAGTGTTACAAAGGCCCTGACTAAAGGCCCCAGGTCATGCCCTAAATAACCCAGAACACTCTAAAATAATGGAATAATTAATTTAATTATAGTTAATTAATATTTATTAATTATAATGCAACATTTACTATAATGTTACAATATAGTTTTTATGTATTACTATAGTTATTTTTAGTTGTACTTAGAAAACATCTGTAAGAAGGCTTTTGAATGCCAAATGACTATAGAGAGTTTTGTAGATGAACATATAAGCTACACAATGATATTTGTTTTATTTTTAGTTAATATGTAAGTTATTGCATAATGGAATGCCAAGCATTGATAAAAATAGAAAAATACAAAATTGGTTTATTATCTATGCACAAGCATTATTGATAAAATGCATATGAAATTTCTTAATTTCTGCTGCATTTTGGATGTCTATATGGTTCAGAATGATGCTACAACATATGGTAGCTCTAAAACCAATTAATTATTAGGTTAAAAGCTATAAAAAAAATAGCTTTTTGTCTTTCTAAAAGGCAG